TCAGTACTGGACAGTCAATAACTACTCTAAAGAGTTGCCGAGTTATATGGTAAAAAAAGAGAGAAAACTGAGAAAACATTGCGCCACTTCCTAACATATCCTAACGATCTCAAGTCATGTCGAAGCGCGTGAGAAAAGGAGTGTCATAAGTTTTGATTTCGTAGCGGTAAGCGGCGAGATATCGTAGAGATTCGCCATGTTTCTGTTAAACTCGACGGTGAACTCGTAGTTATTTTACTCGAAATGCGATATTCAATGAAGGGATAACAATTCTAAGCTGTAAAAAGCAGTTATTTTTATTTAAACGCGAGTTTTAAAAGCGAAAATCGATTATTAAATCTCAAGGTGTTTTCGGTCTCACTTCGTGAGATTGGTAATCTTCCGAAAAGTTACAGACTATCTTACCGATGACATAATGGTGACTGGCAAAAGCAACTAACCACAACATAAAAATGACGAAAAATTGAGAAAACGAGTTTCTCATTGGAAATCCTCTGACCTAGAAATTACATTGAAACATGTTTCGTGTTCCCGTCGAGTTATAGAGACACGAGCTGAGTGGAATTTTGGGAGAACGAGAAGTGCTGTGAGAACACGAGCCGACAGGCGAGTGTTTGCAAATGCAGCTTTTTCTTCGAGTCCTCCCAAACTTTCACGAGTGTTTCTGTGACTCATGGGAAACACGGAGAATATCTTTTTTATTTCTTTTAGAAAATTCCGCGTCGAAAAAAGAAAATTATTTTAAATTCTCTTTGCTCGCGTAATCATTTCGTGAACAGCTCGTGCTGGTTCTGCGTTTTAATCGAGTTATGGAATTACAACTTGCAGTGTGTTCCTTCTTACAAGGTGTTTTCTAATTAATATTCACAACAATTTTAGGTTCAACTGTTGCTCCACCTGCCACGACAGCCGCACCTACACCACCAGCACCAACGACTACAGCACCACCAGTAGGTAAGGAAACACCTGATTGGTTAACTACTTAGTCAAGAATTTAACGGGTAAATTTCTGGAATATTAATATTAAAGGACGCTATCCTGAGTTGCGTATCATGAAATACGGCATGGTTTTTTTGGGCTATTTAGTGCATCGTGGCCTCTAAATCGCTGCTTACTGCGTATTCTGCATTCAGCTAGCTTTCAACTGGCGTATTTCACTTAGAGAGTCTTCGGAGATCTAGTGGAAAAATATCATTCGAATGAGTAGGCTAGCACTGTAACGTTAAAATAAATGGATCGACTGTAACTACAGTGAAATAGGGCGTAATATATAGGCTGTTTCGCGCATTAATATTTCACGATCTTTGAATCGTTATATAATGGGGAATTTGCATTAACGTGGCCGTTAGCAGAAGTATTTAACTTAGAAATCTGAGGAGATATGCTAGAGGAAACAAAGTATTTACACGGGACAGGTACATGTCGGCACTGGTGAATCAGATAAACTTGTACATGTCTTGATCTCGCGGCGAGCCGACAAGCCGGAAACATGGCACGTGACATAGGTTATTTATTTATTTCTTTTGTCTTTGTTTGTCTGCCTGTTTTTTAACACAGCACATGTCATGGGTTATTTAACTCGAACTGACCTTAAATAATTTAATTTTGAGAAATCTGTTTTACGTTAGCCATGAATTAACACATAACATTAAAAATGCCCTCTAAAAACATATTATGATATATTTTAGCCAATGTGTATGAAAAAGCAATTGTACACATGGGCTTATACAGTGACATTATACATTTTAATGTAATATAACCGTGTAAGTACCAATAATTGTGTTGCGAAGAAAAAATGCGTGTAATTATGTTGTAATTATCATTATTTTCAATTTTTCGTCGTTCAATGAAACTTTCACGACCCGTCAATTGGCGGCTTTGCGCTTTTATTGATTTATTCTAATTATTATTATTATTTTTTAATTTTTCTTGTAATTGCTTAGCCTTTGGCTGCAACTTTGATAAATCCATGTGCGGATTTCTTCAGGACAAAAATGACAAGTTTGATTGGACTCGAAATAAAGGAGGCACTCCATCTACTGGTACGGGACCATCCGCTGACCACACCACCGGAACTGGTATGCAAAATTTGTCTTTTATTGCGTCTCTTTCGTCTACTTCCATAACGTACCACTTGTTTCATTTGCCATCAACCGCTTCAGAGTCGGCCGGTTTTGGTTTATTTGGCTGAAGTGTTCTAAGAGAACATTTTCTTGACCATTTCCGTTAATGGTTACATTAATTTTTGGCCCAATTCTGTTGGGATAAACTGTTTTCAGATGGTTTGGTTCAAAACGTGTCTCATTGGGAATATCCAAGCCGATTAACCGTTTAAACAATTGGTTTGTTTTCGTTTGAACCGTTGATGACACTATTTCAATAGGGTGCATAATTACAGCCAAGACTGTAGTTTCCCACATGGCCCTATACATGAAACTAAATTACATCCTCATTAATTACAGGAAGTTCAAACGTTACAACATAGGATACTAAGCTACTAAGTTATAAAAGGAAATTAAAATATTCTGTCAATTTTAAAGCTATCAGGCGTGAATTTACGCATGATGCAGTCAAAGTAGTTTCTTCTGAGATCGGCCGAATAGATACAATCATTAAGAGCATTAAAAATGAAACTTTTCAAGTGAACCAACCAAAAAGGTGTTTTTCCAAGCTGTAGAACACGAAAAGACCTAACCAGCCCAACCAGCCAAAGAAAAGAGATACTCTCAGACTAGGGCCTTGTGTAATACTGTTTACTTTGAACATTTATCTCTACTTAGATATTTTGTACTAATTTTAGGAACTTTTCGGTTTAACAAAGTTTAGTTCATGGTTATTCATTCGTCCAAATTTCGGATTTCTGGTGTAATTTCCTGTTTGGATAAAATGTTTGGAACTCGTTCCAGTAGACTTACTCTTTAATTTATTTACGAATCTACTGCTGTTATACTATACATGTAAAATATTAGAACGCCCTCAATGGCGTATCCAAAACGTTGAGTTTTCAGAAGGTATGAAGTCACTCTCAGTTGGTTTGCGGACGCCAAGGTTAGTGCCCTTTCAAAAATCTAGGAAATTTTTTTCCATTAAGTCATCAGTGCCATATTATGTTGAAAGTAAGGTACAAAGGGTACTTCCTCCTTTCACTTGGTTGCAGAGGACAAAAACCAGAATTAACGATAACATGAATAAATGCCAAAAGCCAAAAACATGGAGTAGTTTTAACAGAAGTCACGGAGCCATTTTTTTTTTTTTTGTTATCTCTCTATCATTACAGGATACTTCATGTACACGGAAACATCAAGTCCTCGACAGCAAGGTGACAATGCAAAACTAAATAGCCCCAAGCTGCAATTCAGCGGGAACATGTGTCTTCAGTTCTTTTATCACATGTATGGTTCAACCATGGGGACATTAAACGTGGAAGTAAATGGAGTAAACGTGTTCAGTAAAAGTGGAGACCAAGGCAAAATTTGGCATGAAGCGAAAAAAGATGTAAATTTATCGGGAATGTTCACGGTAAGAGAAGTTTTCGGGGCCACTTTAAAGTTGCCTCGTACAAAATTGTTGTAATATAGTATGTAGAGAGTCCCAGTAGATGACTTCACAGTTACTGGATTTGTAACTCTCCAAAACCTTGACACGAGTAAGTTCAACGTATTATAATAAGAAAAAAAGCGCTTTCAAAGAGTCTTAAGTAAACCTCTTTCACCAATTGTTGAAAGTCTTCCTGACTTAGGGAAATACAACTGCAGTCGCAAATAGGTTTCTGTTAGACTGCTTTTTGAGTAAGGATATGGATCAACGCGCGATCGTGACGAAATAAACCTGGTTTCCGTGTAGAGTTGAACGTGTGGCTGCAGGTTAACCTTCATTCGGCTGATTTAGATCCATTAATGTAACAAATGCTAATGTGAAGTATTATTTATTTCTTCCTTCAGTTTTTATTGGCTGGGAGCCCTTCGCGTGACTTGTAAATAGCTTGCTGCCTATAATGATCTGTTCATGCGTGATACCGTCTGAATGCGTTTTGCTGCAAATAGTATTCTGCTCATGCTTGCATGTAATTGTATGAAAAATGGCAGATTGCTTCCTTGAGCTTTCAGAGAGTGATGTAAATATAAAAACAAACTTGGTGATCGAATGATAAAACAATTATTGAACTCGATTATCGCAAAATAGAGTCAAAATGTCGTGATTTGTCAGTGTCCCGCAGATCAATTGTTTTCCTCAGCCTTCGGCTTTGGCAAATGCTTTTATCGGCTGACTTTTAAATATATATATATTTTTTTATGAAGGAAGACTATTTTATGATACTTATCGTGAAGACTGATTACATTGATATGCTGTATTTTCATATGATTAAGTCTGTTCGTAAGTCGATCATTTTCATACGTTGATTAATATGTTTTTTTTTTTTTAATCGTCATGGTAGGTTACATTTGAGGGAATAACGGGAACAAGTTGGAAGGGTGACATAGCAATAGACGATTTCCTGTTAACCCCAGGGAGATGTTTATCAAGTAAGTCCGTAACAAGTTAAATTTCTATGTTTCGTATCTCACGAAATTATTTAGGTTCTTATCGTTTTCCAATTGATAATTGTTAACAAGCTAGCGCACATGTAACCTCAAAATTAGCAACAGCATGCCAACAAACAGAAAAAAAAACGACACAAAGAAGGCCTAGGAACTGCAATCAGAACATAAACGGGTAACAGAGAATAAATAAGTAAATAAATAAAACAAATAAATAAAGAATAAATACATAGATAAATAAATAAATAAATAAATAAAACAAATAAAGAATAAATAAAGAAATAAAGAAAGAATAAATAAATAGATAAATAGATAAATAAATAAATAAAGAATAAATAAATAAACAGCTTTTTCCAATCCTCTAAGTTGCTTCTGCCTCTTGTTATTTTGCAGTAACTCCGCCACCTCCAACAACACCCGGTTCCCCACCCCCACCAGGTAGGAATTTCTTTTAGCACAGTCATCATATCTTTCGTAAGAACTGATGTAAGTCCGCTTCAGGGAATAGGCATTAATTGCTATGAATAAATATGTTCATTTGCACTTCACAGAATTACTTGAGAAAGTATTCCTTCTGACCTGTTATTTGTTTGCGATTCATTTTGTTAAAATGTTTATCCTGCCCCTCTTTAAATTATATAGCATAACAATAAACATTAGTATAATTTTCAGAGGTGAATAAAAGAATTGGACATTCTGATTGGTCGATAAGCTCATCATATGACGTTTCATTCACCCCGCTAGAGCATGGTTACTAAGCTAGCCATCTATGCCATCTCAGCAAGTAAACATGGCGGAAAGTCGCTGAATGAAGTTTTCATTTATTCGAAAGAAATCACTCCAAGTCCAGGATATTTGAAAGAATGGAACATAGCTATATGAGTTTAAATATTAACTGAGGGACAGAATGAAATTTTTATTGCCTTGACAATTTAGCATTTTCTCGTTAGCGGCATTGCTGAGGATTCATGGATAGGAGTTCGCGATTGGCTGTTGTGTCAAAAGGCAGTCACCAGTTGAACTATGCATTGCGCTTCCAATAATTACACAACCGTTTTCAAATTAAAGTCAGCGTTTCTTTTAACCAAGATATTTCTGATCGGAAATAAGATTCCCCGTTTCATTTGTGGCCAAACCAACCTTAGATTGCAATGCAAACAATCCACATCCGAAGGTGAATCGTCTAGATTGCAAACCAATGCTCTTTAAGATTTTCGTACCGTAATTTAAACAAAATGCTATCGTCTACTTTTTCTTGAAGGTTCTTGCGGCATCCGCCCACCTACCAGGATTGTCGGTGGTGTCGACGCTAAGCGTGGTGACTGGCCGTGGCAAGTTCAGTTACGTACCACTTCCGGTTTTCCTTACTGCGGAGGTTCCTTGGTGTCAAATCAGTGGGTGGTCACAGCCACTCACTGTGTCAGAGGAAAACAACCCAGCTCTATAATCATAAGGTAAACTACTACATGCCAAAAAGAAACACTGGAATTAATAATATCTTACAAACGGAAGTAGGAGATACTTCTGTCGAGCAAAATGTATGGCAAGTTATTTATCATACAACCCAACTTTTTCCGTTGTGGGTGAGAATTACGAGAGTAGTTATATAGAACCAAGAAATATAGTTGGCATAGACGAATTAAATTGGTACTGCTTTTTGGATTCAAAATAACCTATACGAAAAAATGAGAGGGCTGTGTTCTAGAAGTTTCATAAAGTCCAAAAACAACTAATATTTTTTTTCGATATCATATCAAAGCCGTGATTTACTGTAGGTTTCTTTTCTATGAGTCGTCAGTCGTAACATGGTCTCACTCTGCTGTTTCTATGGAAACTAGGCATCTTACTTCAGATGTTTAAGATGATTTCCGCAGAACATTCGAGCAATAATGGCGAAAATAAAGTTACCAAAAAAAAAAAACACATAGCATGGTAATATTTTGAATAAAGGTAAGAAGAATTTATCGGGCCTCAAACTCTCAAGCTTACCCCGCGAGAGAAAATTGAACTTGAAGT